CTGTCCATCCTCACCACCTCACCTCTTCTCTACTCTGTCGATCCCCTCTCGTCCATCTGCCCTCTCCACTACCCCCTCTCCTTTTTTTCCTACCCTCCATACAGCATTGCCTTCTCTCCTCTTTTCAACCTTGACACACATCTTCCCTCCTCACCACCACCCTCAATTGTTTGCCCACCTAATCACCATTGTCTACAAACCAATAGTGGTTTATTTAAAATAAACATCCAATGAGAAAGGAAGGAGTAGTTCTATCCTAGCCACTTACCTTAGGTTGGAAGCACTCTAAGTTTGGGCATTAATAATCTAAAAGGTTTATATGGGATTCCTGAATGCTGGTCATTAGTCAGGGAGTAAGGGTGATGGATAGAGAGGAGGGAAAAGAACTTGGGGCCTTGGGGGTATGGAGAGGTAGGGGTAAACAAAAATGATGAAATGATTAGTTTTCCCTGCTTTGACCACACATTTAAAAATTATTATAGAATTCTGAATCTTTACTCCTCAATATCTTTGTCTTTTTCTATGTGAATATAATGGTCTGTGAACTTGATGAGACAGTCTCACCCTAGCATTGCTCAATTACATTAGCACCTGTAATTTTTCAGCAAGGTCATCAATCATAATAATTTTGAGTAGCATTGCACATATCATTACAACACTGCTCAACCATTAACACTGGTGGGGGCTATTAGAAAATAGCTAGCAATTGATGAGCATCACAAATGCATGGTTTCTGTTTTCCCTTTTTCTAACGAAGGCACCTGTTGGATATTAGATCCCTTCAGGATCCTGGCCCATAATCTTTGCATGCTAAAATATTTCTAGCATTCAAATTTTGATTCAGATCTGTATCACCATCATTAATTGGATCTATTGACAAACTTTACAAGTTCTTTCTATTAATTGAATTATATGTTGTTGGGTTACATTTATCTTCTCCTCTTCCTAATGTTATTAAGCAGTTTTAGTTGCATTATTGATCCACTTTCGCTATAATTTGGGTGAAAGAATTGCAATTTTCAGTTGAATTGATTATTATAACTTGCAGGATTTTTCTTCCAGAAATATGTTTACTTATATGGACATTAAGGGAAGGGGGAGGGACATTTTAGGAAAAGAAAAGCAAAGAAGGGTTTTATTTCGTAAAAGATGTAGCATCTGCCAAATTAGTTGTGGAGTAATATACTAGCTATAACTTGAACTAGTGTTTGAATTTCTTATTTTTATTATTAATAATGTGCCGCCTCCTGATTCGAAAAGCTAATATTTAAACTTTGCAGATGCAGGAGGCTTATGGGGCTCCAGGGTATTTTTCTGAGGCTGAGACAGAAAGGAAAAAACCTTCGTAAGTAGTCTTTTCTCTCTGAAGAAAGTTCAGTAGTACTTCTCTATAATATGAGTTTAATGGTTGTTAGCATGAGAATTCAGGAACTCCATTATGTGATTATTCATACAGATCCTAATAAAATGGATGTCTTTATTTCTCTCTTTATTTTTGGAAGACATATTGATATGTACTCACTGTCTGTCTCATGCACATTCTCCATAGCATTTTACCAACATGATTCTTTTTTTTTTTTTTTTTTTGATTTGTGTGGCTCACCAATTTTCATTTCTTCTCATTTTTGCAGGGAAGCACATAAACTGACGGAAGTCTCAGTGAGTGACAAGCTAGAAGGTTTTCGTGCATCAAAGGAGGTAAACAACTTACATACGATATTGTGGATTTTATTGTCATTTTTTGCAGTTTATTACTTGTAATGACTGAACTTAGAGCTACTAAACTACTGACTGCTGTTACTAAGAATGTTCTTATGAGAAACCTTGGACATTTTTGTTTGTTCATTCTTTGTAATTAATTACCAACCTCTGCAACCAACCATGTTAAATGGATTGATTGTAAACCAAATTATATAATCTACCTTGTCTAATGAATTGATTGACCTTCAACTTCATAACAAACAACTTTTTATTGACAGTGTAGAGTTGTATTTGGTTTGGTACATTACATCAGAACTGCAACATGCTCATCTTTAAGTCTTTTAGAAAATCGAACATTCTTCTAATTCATTTTCTCTTCAGCATTTTAGGGGCCTGAGTTTTCCTACCATTTCATCTGTTGGTCCAAATGCAGCCATTATTCATTATGGGCCCGATCCTCAAACTTGTGCTGAGATGGATCCAGATCGAATTTACCTGTTTGATTCAGGAGCACAGGTAGACCAACATTTTAATCTGAGCAGCTTACATAATCACTTTGGCTGTTACTTTAATAACCTTTTCTTATAATATCTTGCTTTATTATTTACTTGGTTGGGTGGCCTTTAAAAGTATCAAGATGGAACAACTGATATTACTCGGACAGTGCATTTTGGACAACCTTCTGCTCATGAAAAAGCTTGCTACACAGGGGTATGTATTTGTCATATTGCTTCTCAATTCAACTGCTTTATCCCTCAATAACTAGAAGAACATTACTATTAGCATATTGCAACGGATGCTGGCTGCATTCTACACTGGTTGAAACATTTGTGTTTTGATGAGGTATTTTGTACATGTGGACAAAATGACCCAAGAAACTACAACTAACACAGGGTTGTAATAAATGAAAATGAGCTTTCATTATATGATCTTGTCAAACTGTCACATACACTTTTCAATCTGGAATAGTATTGGTTTGAAGAAATTGGTTTTCTTCCCCCCTGTTTGGTGACAAGTACTTTCTGCTTTCTGTCCTTCCTCATACAACGCTTAATTGAAAGTATTTTTTACAGAGGCGTCCGCTTCATCGATTGATTATCAAGTTGTATTAATGGAAGAAGCTTTTCCTTTTGAATTATAAGAGATATACTGAATTATGACTTATAAAATCTGTCAATGTAAAACCTTAAGCCCTGTTCACATTTTTTTAGAGAAATTTCCATTCTTATGGATTACCCTTGTTCTCTTGACCTGATATCTAATAAACTAAAATTATTTAAGTCATGAAATTGAGAACTGTTAAGCCCATTATTTAAGGATAAACACCATATAGTTTAAAAGTACTCAATAATATGTACTTATGTTATTTCATATTACTTTAGCCGTTGACTTCTTAGGATAAGACTTGCTACAAAGGATTTGTGCTAGAATTCTCTGAATATTTCATACATTTTGGTTTGAGTTCTGACATGTATAATATTTTCAGGTTCTTAAAGGTCACATTGCGTTGGGTGATGCTCGGTTTCCAAAAGGAACTAATGGTATTGGAACTTTAGTCTCTGTCTGTATTTTGATAATTGATTGACCAGTTGTGAAAAGTAGATGTATGTTATAGGATTGTGCTGTGCTGGTTAATGGACATATATTCTATGATTGAGTGTACAGATGGGATCCATCTCTTCGTGCCCCTCTTATTAACTATACTCTTGTTCAGTTTGATGTTTATTGGTCCACTTTCTATTTATTGTGCATGTGAATGCTCTTACTTGATGGTTGATGTATCAGGTCATGCTCTTGACATTCTTGCACGAATTCCTCTGTGGAAATATGGGCTTGATTATCGTCATGGTACTGGTCATGGCATAGGATCTTACCTCAACGTGCATGAAGGTGAGTGATGAGTTTTTAATGTTATTTCTATTGATTTGCACAACTCCGCCAGTGGGTTTCCCGCTGCCAGTCCCAAGTCTGGATAAAGGAGGGTTTCTGTAGGCGTAGGACAGTGACATCCCATGTAATGAGCCAAACTTAAGGTTTTGATTGATTGATTATTGATTTGCACATTCTGTAAGTAACAACTCGCGGTCTGTTTTTGCTGGACAGTATTGATGGGCTAATAAATTAAAAAAAAAATTATTATAGCATCAATAAAATAACTAAACTGAATTCAACACATAACTCGCTGAGCACACATACTAATATTACTATACTAGTAGTAAGGCAGTGATAGATCTTGAGAAACATTCCCTTCATTTGGACAAGAGCATGAATTCATGTTATGAAATGGGACAACCATCTGCCCAGATGCTTGTTGGGCCCTGTAAAACCATATCTTATTGTCAAAGAGGCAACTATTATTGTATTGATATTTTACCAATTCTGCTTGCTTTATACTGAGCTCCATTATATATATTGCATTTTTTTTTAGAGTTTAACCTTCAGTTTGTTTCTGTTTGAGCAGGTCCTCATCTAATTAGCTTCAGACCTCAAGCTCAGAATGTACCTCTGCAGGCTGCTATGACTGTAACAGATGGTTAGTATGGATGGATTTGCAAGCAATGTCCATAAATTTTTATTATTATTTTACCTTTTGTTTTTCATCTTTCCACTTTCTTTTTATAGGGTCTTCTCTCTTCCGACCCAGAAAATTTGGCTAGTTTCATCTTTCTTGTAACAATATGCGTTTTTTTTGGTTTTTGCAGAGCCTGGTTACTATGAGGATGGGAATTTTGGTATTAGATTGGAGAATGTGCTTATAGTAAACGAGGCAAATACGGAATTTAACTTTGGTGACCGAGGATATTTGGAGTTTGAGCACATTACATGGGTAAGTTTTCGGCTTTCTAATTTTGAATTCCTTTTTTTGCAGAGCCTGGTTACAATATCGTACTGCATATAGCTAAAAATTCAATTTTTACTGTCAGGCTCCGTATCAACACAAATTGATAAATTTAAGCCTTCTGACTCCAGAAGAAATAAGTTGGTTGAACACATATCATTCAAGGTGTCGTGAAATTTTGACACCTTATATGAATGATACTGAGATGGCATGGCTAATAAAGGCAACAGAACCCATTGATATGGTCATGTCACATTAATGACTAACACCATTTGCATTTCCAAATTTTATAATTAATTCTCAATTTATAAGATATTGTTAACCTATATTTGATTTTCTTGTAACTTCCTTTGAGATCTTTATACAAGTTATCAAAATATTCTTGCTTTATGTTTTCATTTCTAGTTCATGTCTTGCAATTTTTTGTTTAATAGATCTTGCAATTATTTGACACTTCATATAACAAATTAACAATAGTCTTTCATTATTATAGACTAATTTTGAAAGTGACTACAATGACAAGCAATTTGTGCATCAAGTAGTTGTGCATAGTCTGGGCTACATATATTAATGATAACAACAGCTAGCAAGTCAAGATCAAGTACTTTAGAACTACTAATGGACAAAAGTAATAGATCAACTTCACTTATAAAAACTATAAAATGCTAAATTCTATGCATTATTTTTTGTTACAGAATAGTATTATTGACTTTTATCCCAAATTGAAGGCATGCAACATGTAATACTGCCCCCAACATTAATTTATGATACTTGCCTTTGCTCTCTGATCAGTTAACCTATTCTCACATGTATTAGCTATTTCAGAAAATGACTTGAGAGTTGACCCTTCTATAGTAAAGGCCTCTTTTGCATATTTTTGCACTTCTTTGGCTCTAACCCTCATCTTAATCCCATCATCATCTTCCATGACCTTAATTATCATCTTCTTAATCTCCTCTCTACCCAAAACTCCTTTGGTTGGCAAGACCTTCGGGCGAATTACCACCCCTAGCTCCTCCTCAACCAATGCCGCGTTCATGTTTTGCTCGGCGTAGAGAGGCCAAGCAATAATAGGCACACCATTGACAAGACTCTCAAGTGTTGAGTTCCAACCACAGTGTGATAGAAACCCTCCAATTGATTTGTGAGCTAGTATCTCGGTCTGTGGGGCCCACATTGGGATCACCTTACCCAAGTTGTGGGTCCGGGTCAAGAAGCCGTGAGGCAAGTATTGCGAGATGATTTGACCCTGACCGTCCATCGCATGGAAGAGGGCCCCGGCTCCATCATGCTCAATATGTGGGCGTAACACCCAAATAAATCTTTGTTGACTCATTTCCAAACCCCAAGCTAACTCTGTGGTTTGTTGACTAGACAAAGTTCCCCCACTTCCAAAGGAAACATAAAGGACCGACTCTTTAGGTTGGTCATCTAGCCATTCTAACAACTCTCCCCCTAAATAATCTAGACTAACCGGCCGGACCAATGGTCCGACCGGGTAGACTCGCTTATTAAATATTTCTCTTAAAATTTTATTGTTTTTCAAGGAGAAAAGTGTTTTTGACTCCAAGTGTTCCCATGTATTGACCAACACCCCATCAGCCGTCCCTAAATCTAAAGCAATACGAACGTACGCATCATAATCTTTATTCTCTGGGTCAAAAATCGGGTCAAGTATATCATCATACTCGACCCGTTTACAACCCGGGATATTGAGGGGACCTACATGCTTGGCTTGTTTATCAAGGAGGGGCACACATATGGTCATAGCTAAAAACCATGCATTTGAAGGGATATAAACATATTTTACCATGTCAAATTCATCTGCAAGACTAAGGAATTCAGTTCCAAAAAGGTCTACAACAAGGAGGGTTGGGTTGTGCTTCATGGACCCAAGCTCGGCACGTAAGCTTGGAACATAGCCTCTCATCATGATGGCAAGTCGGGTCATGATCTTATCACTTGGACTCATTTGAGCTGAAGAGTCCACATAGGGTAGCACAACCAAGTTGTACAAAGTTGGGCTTGTATAAGGTTGTTTAGGAAGGAGGTCAATGGGTTTGTTTGAGGCGGTGGGCTCCATGGTTACAACGAAGATTGTAACGTGGAAATCGTGGTGTGTAATAAGGCGGTTGGCGAGCTCGACCATGGGGATAAGGTGGCCTAAGCCAGGGCTTGCAAGTAGAGCAGCATGAGGTTTAGTTGGGATCATAATAGCTAGCTTAATATAGTAGGAGCAAAAGAGGGAAGAGTTTAGTGGTGGTGCAATGCAAAGAAGTAGTGAAGTAGTGTGAATAATGAAGTTATGAAGAAGAGTATGTAAATGTAGTATTTATAGAACAAGAATGGAGATGATCAAATAATGCAAGAGCTAGTTGGAAAATTGGTTGAGAGGCAAGGAGACATTGAGATTAACGACTGGTATGTAGTAATGTTTATTTGATTAATATATATGGACCCATTTGAGATGGTCAATTGGTATACTCTATAATTTTGATTTATTAATGAAGTGACATATTATATTGTTTACAAATTACTTCACCAAAATTATCTATATTAATACTATATCAATATATCATCAGCTCATCACTCATCACCGGGTGTGCTGCCGTCTTAGACGGGTGACTTTGATTGTGTGGACTAATAAACCTTTATTTAAAAATAATAATGAGGTTGATTCAATAGAGAAAAGTAATTGTCAAAAATAAAGAAAACTACATAGTAATTTATTTCATCAAAGCTACGATTTTTGCATGCATTTCAAACATTGTCGTGCCCTTTTTCATATTGCTATGTTTTAGTTTTGTTAATGAGGGGTCTATCAATTTGAAAGGACCGTGAAATTGATTTCCGTCAAATTGATCTAACAGAACCCTAGTTTTGTACACCCTAGATATTAAAAGGCGCGGTTGAGAGGATGTATGGGAAAACTTACATGGACTAGTATTCTAAAATGTATGAAATATATTACTTATATTGTGGCTTGCAAGCTATAATAACATTGGATATTCGGATTTTAACTAGAACTAAAGAATTGAAATTACACGAAAATTAAAAGGATAGTACTCTAATTCTCATAAGAATAGAGAGTATCTTCCTAATCGCAACTAGAAGATGATAATGAGTTGCAACAAGTGATGTTTTTGATTAACAATCAAACGAACAACACTCAAAGAAATAATTCCCATGATAGAAAAAAGATACACGGGTGAGAGGATACATGGGGAAACTTACATGAACTAGTAATCTAAAATGTACTTCGTATGAAGTATCCTCTATACTAACTACTTTATTCATTTTTTTTAACTTTACCTATTTCATTTATCACAGTGTAATTTTTACAAATTCTTTCAGTTTAGATCGCCCACCTCCTCATTTTTGTTCGTTTTGAGTAATTTAGTTAAGTCTATTTATAAGTTACTCAATCTCAATGATAGTACTTCGTAGATTAATTACTCAATAATATTATACTCTTTATGTAGCTACGTCTAGGATTTTAATTTAATTAAAGTTTTAAACATGTGAGAACCAAACGGAGTGAACACATCCTTACGTTTCCTTAAAATCCATCATTTTCAAAATTGTTAGGAGTACTCTGTACTTAGTTATCAAAATTACCCTACATTGTTAAATCAATATGGAGTATTAAGTTCTAGACTACAAGTTGAATTGGTATAATTGTGTTTGAAAAATCAGCAGCGTATGCAACAGGGTACACCAGACTCCATGATCCTTCGTTGAACTGCTGACTTCATCAATTGAAGGCCGTACTTGGTGGTTACTAAGTCCTAGTAACCGTTGACTCTTTTTCTATATTCCTCTTTACAAGTTGTGGCGTCGTGCCTTGTGGAAAACTCTCTTAGAATTTAGGGAAAATACAAGTTTATCTTCGTGTTATCTACTGGCATTTTCGTAAATTAATCAATAAAATATCACAGTCAGCATGACATTTTCATAAATAAGTCAACATCATTTATTAAAATACGGGCCCTATAAATGTTGACTTATTTACAAAAATATCATGTCGACTGACTGACTGAGTTGTTTTATTGATTTATTTTTGAAAATATCACTAGATGTCTAGATAAACAATTTTTGTTTATCACGAATGTCAACTGGGGCTCCCTCCAGAATTTATGCATAACATATAGGGTGCTCTTAAAAATTAATTTTTATGGACTTTTTTGTAAGCAATTATGTTGCAATTAGAGTCCGTGACCAAACTAGAATGAATTTGGTGGGCCGACCAAAAACACATGGGAAACTTATGTTGATATTACATCGGTCTTTTTACAATATACTCCGTAGTAAGGTATGTGCCTATATGAAGAAAAAAAAAACTCAAACAACACTCTAGTAAGGGAGTAATAAACAATTTTACACTCCCTTATTTATTACTCCGTAGTACTAGCTTCTTGTTTAACGGTTGAAATTCAAACTATAATATTCTACTTTGATACAAAAAGCTTCAAATTTATATTTTATTACTTTGGTGCATCGATGATAGACATGATATAAATCATATAGCCTTCTTAACTCTTTAAGTACTACACTTAACATCACATTCACATAACAATGTTTTCATATCACAAATTTCTCAACTACCTTGGAGAGTGAAATGTAGGAAGTACCACCCTCACTTAAGGCTTCTTTTGCACTTGCTTTAAACTCATTAACCCTTGTTCTTATGCCTATCCCTTCTTCGTTCACCATCACCCTTCGCACCATTTTCGCAATCTCATCTCTTTTCACCAGCTCCTTGCTAGGATCCTCCTGAGGTCCGACCGCAATCCCAAATTCTTTTGTAAGCAAAACAGCATTCAAATGCTGCTCCGCATACAAAGGCCAAGTGATTATAGGCACCCCATTCACAATACTCTCTTGTGACGAGTTCCACCCACAATGACTAACAAACGCACCTACTGATCCATGGGTCAGGATCTCCTCCTGTGGGGCCCACATTGGTACCACGAAGCCCACATTGCGAGTTCGATTCAAAAACCCGTCTGGTAGGTACTCGAAGAGCTCGTCCTCATCACTATGTTTGGACTTAAACAGAGAAGCACAGCTATCATTTTCTATAGGAGGTCGAACCACCCAAATGAATCGCTGCTCGCTCAACTCTAAACCCAAGGCTAATTCAATAGTCTGTTGCGCTGATAATGTTCCGCCACTCCCAAATGAAACATAAACAACAGACTTATTTGGTTGACGGTCTAGCCACTTCATTAACTCGGGTTTTGAACCTGTTGGTTCACCTGCTCGAACCAACGGTCCTATTGGATGAACTGGGGTTCTAGAAATATGCTTCATGAACCTTTCTTCCTTGAATAAATTAAGTGTCTTGGCCTCAAGATCCTCCCATGTGTTCACCAAAATGCCATCAGCGGCTGCCATGTGTGACGCTACACGGACTAATTCTTTGATGGTCTGGTCCGCGAGGGAAAGGACCAATTTAAATTGACCATCATCCATGATTGGTTCACTCTCAGGAGCATAGATTGGTTCATCCCGGTTCGCCTCTTTCTTCACGTACGGAAGATAAAAATTATAGTACAAGCACCTCGCATTAGTAGCAATGAACACGTACTTCAACATGTTGAGCTCCTGCGCGATTGCTTCAATTGCCTCAGTACTAAAATAGTCGACAATCAAGGCTACGGGTTTGTTCACCATGCCATTGATTGAGGACCGTAAGGCAGGGAAGGTACTCCTAACCATTGCCAACATGCGAGGGACAACGCCTACATCTGATGGAAAGTCTTTCTCACTAGGGAGGACGACAGTGTTGATGAGCTCAGGCCACAAGGAAGTGGCAGAACGGAGAAGCTCATCTTGCACAGGAGTGTCCTCAGGAATGACAGCAAACACAGTGATGGTGACGCCATGTTTAGCCGCCAGGCACTTGGCCAACTCCACTGTAGGGATCAAATGGCCTAAGCCCGGGCTAGCGAGGAGAGCAACGTGAACTTTTGATGGGATTACCATGGTGGTAGAAGATGAACAAAGTAAAAATATGATAGTTTTGGTGGTGGTAGAAAATGAAATAGGCAAAGTATGATGAATAGTTTTGGTTTTACTCTATATATACAGAGTAGTTACTACTTGCTATCCATTTTCTATCCATCTCAAAAGGCTTGAAAATTCAAAATTACTAAGTTTTTTTTTTAATAAAAAAATTCCTTACAAAATAATGAGATGATATTTATTTCCATAAATACTAATGAAATCCGAAGCAATTTGGTAAAAATCAGCAGAATATACATCTATGATTTCCAAAATCTTCATATATAGACATGATCTTCAAATAATAATGAAAATTTTAAGCGTATTTGGTAATATATCAGCTGATACATTGGGCCTATTGACAAGGATCATAATGGAATCTCTAAAACTAAAATATGCAATTCAGAGTATTTTCAGAATTTCAGCCATTTTTGTCAGTATCAAGCCAATATACGTAATGTTTCCCTCCCAGATTTTGAATAAAAACACAAGGAAAAATAAAGCCATTATACAATGAACAATTATTGCTCCATAAACACCAGAAAAAACCAAATATTGGAAACTAATTACGAGTACAAAATAGGTGAGTAAGTTTGCAACGTTCCTGTTGGAAAATGTTAATTAGCAAGTTCAAATTACTAATTTCATTTTAATAAAACAAAGGCCAACAAAATATTTCAAGATTCGGCAATCAGTAGTGTTTCGGATGAAAACAATCGAATCTCGGAAGATCCTTTTATCTTGAGGGAACTTGGTCTCGGTCCGAACGACGCAGGAGCCGAGGGTTTCCTGCACAACAAATACACGTAAACTAGCCTCGGGGGGGACGCCGAGGAAGGCCCCTCCGATGCTTAAGTCAGTATATTAGAGAGAGAAAGCTGTGCAAGAGTTTAGTTGCTTGAGGCTTTATTGTCTTACCAAGAATTGACCAAATTGTTGGCTTTTATACCTTGGCTAATGAAGGAGGCGGATTGGGCCCGGAAGTCAGTTGGGCTGGGCCAAGCTGATTGGGCCGTTGACTGACCTTGACATGGCTTTGAGGATGTTTGATTTTTGACTTTAGCACATTTGGAGAGTTGAACCTTAACCTTGGGCTTTTAATTGGATCATTCAGTGACCAGGCCCAATTGGACTAAATTGGACCCAAACAACTTGCCCCCCAGACCCGATTTGGAAGGATGACGGGTCGGGTTTGATTTAATCAGAAAAGGAGGGAAGTGAATGATTTGTTAATCCAAAAATGTGAATTTAAACCGTAATTAACCCATGATTAATGAGATAACGCTTTTGGTATCTTGCCGAGCACGATCAAAGGGTAGCCGAGGAAGAGCTAAAGCTTGCTAAGCTGAAGCAGGCAGCAGCTGAAGAGAAGCAGCAGAAGGCTGAGGAGTACGAGAAAAAGGCTGCTGAAGCCCTCCAGACCTTCTGCGACGCTATGGAGAAGGAAGTTTTTTCCCCCACTGATGGAAGGGGAAAAATTCCTCCAAGAGCACCTGGGGGTGGACATCTCCAAGTTCAAGGCTGCTATCGAGAGCCGAATCCAAGAAGGAGCTGCTGCACAAGCTGAAGTGCAGCATCAGCTAGAATCTCTTGAAGCCAGCAGAATGGCTGCTGAAGAGATGCTCCAAGCTAGGGATGTCCAACTCTCAAGGGCTGCTGCTGCTGCTGAAGCTCAAAGAGCTAAGCCACAAGAGGCTGAGGATCAGCTCACTGCCAAGAAGGAAGAAATGGTCCAAGTTCAGGCCGAGGCTTCCCGGGTTCAGCAAGAGTTTACCGAGCTGAAAGGCTCCTCCTCCAAGCTTGTCGATGAGCTGAAGAGATCCGAGGAAGACTTGGAGGAGACGAAGAAGAAGTTGGCCGATGCTGAGGCTCTACTCAAAGTCCGTATCTATACCCAAGAAGAGTATGAAATGGGTTTTAGAAACGGGTTCAGAGTGTGCCGAAGGGTCTGCCTTCATGCTGAGCCGAAGCTGGACTGGTCCAAATGTGCTGAATGGGTCCAAGATCCCGAAGACCCTCACATGAAGTATGCCACTCCAATCGAAGCTGAAATCCTTAAGGCTGAGGAAGCCGAGGAAGAAGCTGAGAGGATGGAGTTGGAGGCTGAGCAGAGGGAAAGGGAGGCTCGGCAAAGTGCAAAGCCTGCTTCTTCTGCTGCTGGAGCTGAGACCACCATTGGGCCCAATGAAGCTGATCAGTCTGATCCTCAGGCTGAAGCATAGGAACTCGGGCAGTCGTCTTCAGAATCTTGCGGTTCATCATGCGCTCAACTTTAGACTTGCCGCTTTCTGAATTTTTGCCTTTTGTTTTTTTTTTTTGCTTCAGCTTGCCTTATCGTACAACAGCTTATTATATTTTTATTTTGCCTGTACGTATTTCGGCAGCTGTTACTTTCCGCTTGTGGGCGGCTGCCGACTATTTTTGTAATTCAACATTTTTATTTCAAAGAAGTTCACTTTCTCAGCTTTCTTGTGTATTTTTTTTTTCTTCGCTTTACCAGTCTTCGCACTTTACTGCTTTCTTTGAATGATCTTTCAAATATTTGCTAAGTGCAGAACTTCGGCTAGCGAGAATCATTTCTGCTGAGACTTCTTTTTGCCGTTTGTACTCGGATGTTTTCAACTTGTGAAAAAACTGACATAAGTATCAAACTTCGGCTGAGCTGAAGGGTATTAGATCAGTTGTGCCATTTCTCTATTTCCCTCTGCCCCCCCAGAAATCTGAAGATGAGGTCTTCTGAATTCTGGAATGGCTGATAATTTTTCTCGGCTAAGCCGAGGATCTTTGAACACTTTGCTTTATTTTCTACATCTGTTTTTAAAGTACTGATTTCCCACCTGAGAGTTTTCACTCTAGAGATGGTACTCTTGTGACACTTTCTTCAATTCATCCAAGGGAACAACTATCCGAAACACCATGCCGGGGCAGCAGTTTATCTGAAGTACGAGGCATCATCATGCAATACTTCAGAGTTGCAACTACCACCCGGAACTGATTCATCCGAAGTACAAGGCATCACTATGCAATACTTCGGGGCTTTATCAGTTCCTATTTTTTAGGCTATGTTTCGGATAAGTCTATGGCCTTTTTGCCCAAAGGAACAGATTCTCCGAAGTACAAGGCATCACTATGCAATACTTCGGGCTTGTATCTTTTTTTGGCAGGTTTTACGGCTTGCCGAGGTACAAGGCATCATTATGCAATACCCCGGACAGCGCCGAATGAAACCTTGAATTTTTGAAAAACCGTAGAAAGCATAAAGGATAGATTGTACTATCCGAAGGATTTACACATAGTATTTTTTGAGCACATCGGCATTCCAATGGTTTTTCAGCTCGGTGCCATCCATTTGTTTGAGTCTGAAGGTACCGGGCTGAAGCTCTTGATAAATTTCATAAGGTCCCTCCCAAGATGCTGAGAGTTTGCCATGAATGCGACTTTTTTGAACAGCTGCAGCATTCCTCAAAACTAAATCCCCAACTCTGAGAGGTCGTTGATAGACTCTTCGGTTGTAGGACTTGCTCATTCTGAGCTTGTGTGCAGCCATCCTTTCTCGGGCTAGATCTCTAATCTCGTCAAGGAAGTCGAGGGACTCTTTCATGAGCTGCTCATTTTCCTCGGCTGAGAAGAGATTCACTCGTAGGCTTTCTGAGCCCACTTCCACTGGAAGCACTGCTTCGGATCCATACACCAGCTGAAAAGGTGAATGCCCCGTTGCCTCCTTCTCGGTTGTCCGGAGTGACCAGAGGGTTCCCGGAAGTTCCTCTACCCACTTGGACTTTTGATCCTCTACTCTTTTTCTGAGAGCGTTAAGGATCTGTTTATTTGCGGCTTCGGCTTGGCCATTACTCTGAGGGTGGCAAACCGCGGAGTAAGCCAATTTTATCCCGAATTGATCAGTGTATCGGCGCAAGGGCAGGTTGTCAAACTGTCTGCCGTGGTCGAACACAAAAACTTTTGGGATGCCGAACCGAGTTATTATGTTCTGCCAGATGAACTGTCTGACAGTTTGCTCAGATATGCTTGAAGCAGCTTCCGCTTCAATCCATTTGCTGAAATAGTCGATTCCGACTATCAGCCACTTTCTTTTGTATGGGGCCTCGGGAAAGGGTCCCAGAATATCCAACCCCCATTGTGCAAATGGAAGAGGATTAAGAATTGGCTGGAGATCTAGGCATGGCCGATGGATTACCGGTGCAAATTTTTGGCATTTCTCGCATTTTCTGACCATGTTCTTTGCATCCGAGATCATTGTAGGCCAAAAATACCCTGCCCTGAGAGCTTTGTGGGCTAAGGTTCTCCCTCCTATGTGGTTTCCGCAGATGCCGAGGTGAATCTCTCGGAGAATATAGTCGGCATCCGTTGGACCCACGCATTTCAATAATGGAGCGGAGAAGGATTTTCTGAGGAGTTGGCCGCCGAAGACGAGGAATCGTGAACTGATCCGCTTTATCTTGGAGGCCGAATTCCTATCCTCGGGGAGCTCGTCCCTGAGTTTATAAGCCAGGATGTCATCCATCCAGCTCGGCTCGAGTGCAGCGCAGCAGATTGATATTGCTTCGGCTACACTCTTTTCTCGGCGCACCTCCACATAGACAGAACGGCTTAACTCAGTCAGAGTTGAGCTTGCAAGTTTGGAGAGTGCGTCCGCTTGAGCATTTTGACCCCTTGGGATCAGCTCTACTTCGAAAGATCTCAGCTTCGCAATTGTCGATTTGATCCTTGTGAGGTAAGCTGCCATTGAAGGCTCTTTAGCCTCATACTCCCCCCGGATCTGATTGGCGACCAGCTGAGAATCTGTCTTGAGGTAGACATGCTCGGCTTCCAACGATATGCACAGGTCTAAGCCAGCAATGGCTGCTTCGTATTCGGCCTCGTTGTTAGAGGCTTTGAATGAAAATTTTAGTGCATACTCGAAGGTTTTGCCTTCGGGAGAGGTGATGACGACCCCTGCCCCCGAACCGTTCACGGTGGAGGACCCATCCGTGAAGACGGTCCAGATTTTCCTCCTTGCATCCGGAGTCTCCTGATAGGAGCACTCGGCCAAGAAGTCTGCCAAGGCTTGCGCCTTGATGGCTGTTCTCGGCTGATAACCGATACTGAACTCGGTGAGCTCGAAAGCCCACTTTGCTAGTCTACCGGATTTTTCAACCTTGCCGAGGACTTTCTCTAACGGCTGATCAGTTAGAACCGCTATTTGATGAGAATCAAAATAGGGTCGCAACTTCCGAGCAGCCACCACCACTGCATAAGCCACTTTTTCTAACAATGGGTAGCGCGTCTCGGCATCCGTCAGGGTGTGGCTGACGAAATAGATCGGCTGTTGAACTTTTTCTTCTTCCCTTAGCAGCACCGCGCTTACCGTGGCTGGACTGACCGCCACGTATAAGTATAGGATGTCTCCTACGACTGGCCTTGCCAGTGTTGGGAGTTGAGCCAGGTGTTCACGGAGCTGCTGAAAGGCTGACTTTTGTTCGTCTCCCCATTCAATGCCTTTTGAATTTTGGAGGTTCAGCGCCTTGAAGAAAGGGAGCCCTTTGTCTGAGGCTCGTGAGATGAACCTGGACAAGGCAGCCATTCTCCCGGCTAGACGCTGAATATCCCTTTTTGTCTTCGGCTCGGGGAGGTCTAAAGCAGCTTGTACTTTGGCGGGGTTTGCATCAATCCCCCTCTTGCTGACCATGAAGCCGAGGAACTTGCCTGACTTCACGCCGAAGACACATTTCTTCGGATTCAGCTTCATTTTGTATTTTCTGAGGGTGGCGAAGGTTTCGGCTAGGTCCGTGACATGATCTTTTTCTTTTATGCTTTTGACGATTGAGTCGTCAACATAAACCTCCATGTTTCGGCCTTTTTGCTCGGCGAAAACCTGATCAACCAACCTCTGATATGTTGCCCCCGCATTTTTCAATCCGAAGGGCATCATTCTGTAATTGTACAACCCGGAACTTGTTATGAACGCTGTTTTAGCTCGGTCCTCGGGGTGCATGAAGATCTGATGGTATCCCGAGAATGCGTCCATGAAACTGAGCAGAGCATGCCCGCTTGTCGAGTCGACCAGTTGGTCGATCCTCGGCAGCGGATAGGAGTCCTTGGGACATGCCCTATTCAGGTCCGTGAAGTCAACGCACATCCTCCAGTTACCATTTGCCTTCTGAACCATTACAACATTGGCCAGCCACTCCGGATACTGACAGGGTTCAATGAACCCAGCATCTAGGAGCTTATCGACCTCAGCTGCGATGTTCTGGTTCTTTTCGGCGGAGTAGTTCCGCCTTTTCTGCTTAATGGGTCGACTGGAGGGGTCGACATTAAGCCTATGGGAGACGAAGTCCGGATCAATCCCGGGCATTTCTGCGGCTGAGAAGGCGAACACGTCTCCACTGGCCCGTAGGAGTTGGACGAGTGCCGCACGGGTGTTTGGCTCCAGTGACGACCCGATGCTAACACATCTGTTCGGATCTCCTACGGTCAGTTCTATTGACTCGGTCAGGTCATCCGTCTCCATGCTCTTAGAGTTGGATTCCTCGAATTCCGGCCTGCTATCAATATTAGCAGACTTTCCTGACCGCGGCTGGCCATCAGAGTCGTTCGGCTCTGAGGCGGAGTCAGCCTTTTGGCCCCCATCAGATTTCTCGTTGTCTGGGGCTTCATTAGCCGAAACGTCTGAGCCTCTCGGCTTTTTGGCGTTTCGGTCCCGGTGCTTTTCCTCCCCATCGCCACGGTCGCCTCGGCGAGACGTGGATGGCTTGAGGTGATTGCATCGGCGGGCTTCTTTTTGACTGCCCTTTATTTTCTCGGAGCGTCCCTCGTCTGAAACGTATATCATGATTTGATGATACGTGGAGACGACTCCTTGAATGCCGTGAATGAGGGGTCTCCCCATGATCACGCTGTATGCAGATGGAGCATCTACGACCAAAAATTCGGCCATGACATTCCTAGCTGCTCGGCCTTCGCCGATGGTGACAGGAAGTGTAATCTTCCCGTCAGGATACGATGAAGAGCCGTTGAATCCAGACACCGGGTAGGGTGCGGGGGCCAGGTGCTCGGCTCCCATCCTCAGCTGGTCGAACGCTCCTCGGAAGAGGATGTTCGCCCCGCTACCGCCGTCGACGAGGGTCCGCCAGACGTTGCGGTTGGCGATGCCCAGAATGATTACTAGTGGGTCATCGTGGGGGTATACCACCCCCTCACAGTCTTCGGCTGTGAACAGGATGTTCGGCGCCGGTGACTGGGACTGCCGAAGCTCAGCCTGATGAATCTGATGGGTTAGACCCCTCAGTTGGCGTTTGGCTGTGCCTCGCGAGATTCCCCCGGAAATAACTAGGATGTCGAGGGACTCATTGCCCTGAGGTCCCTTATCCTTCTTCCGAGCGAAGTTGAGGTCCTGCCGAGAATCTTTTTCAGCTTTTTTCTCCTCGCGCCTGTCCGCGAGGTATTGGCTCAGGTACCCCTTGCGGACCAGATCCTCAATCTGGTCCTTCAGCTGGACGCAGTCCTCGGTGCGATGTCCGGGTGAGTCATGGAACTCGCACCACTGGTCCTTTCCCCTCGTCTGATGCCAGGGAGGCAACGGACGAGGTTTTTTGAATCTCCCCTCGTCCTTCGTCGTGCTGAAAATCTTAGCACGGGGAAGGGAGAGTGGAGTGTATGAATCGTACCTTCCCGTGTAGGGAAAGTGTCTTTCCTTCTTCGGCTCGGCAGCAGAGGACGGTTCTGAGGCCTTAGCCTTCCCTTTCCTCTGCGCCGAGACTTCGGGCTGCTGCCCTTTCGGCTTCTCAATTCTCGGACGAGACTGAGACCTGGATCTGTTCCACTCCTCGGCTCGGATGAACCTATCCGATGCTTCCAAGGCTTCCTCCAGGGTCTGCGGGGGATGCATGACCATGAAGTCCAGGAACTTTCCAGCTTGGAGGCCGTTCCGTAGCGCGAACACGGCCAGGCCTTGATCCAGGCTCGTGATTCCGGATGACTCGTTGCTGAAGCGAGTCAGATAGTCGCGGAGGCTCTCGTCCTCCGCCTGCTGCAGACTCATTAGCTCTGCAGTGGTCTTCTCTCGGCGGTTGGCCGTAGAGAATTTGCTCTTGAACTTGTTGGAGAGGTCGTTCCAACCGGTTATGGAGCCTTCCTTGAGCCCTTTGGTGATCCAGGATTGGGCAACACCTTTGAGGGTCGTAGGAAAGTATTTACACCAGGTAGCCTCAGACCTCGGGTTCAGATACATGTGCCCCTCGTAAGAGGCAATGTGATCCTTAGGATCTGAGGTACCATCGTAAGTAATATGTGCCGGGATTTTGACCGTTGGCACATGCTCTTCCAGAATCCACTTCTGGAAGGGCGAGTTCGATGGAACCATGACCGCCTTCCCCTTGTACCCGGCCTCAGGGACCTCGCTCCCTCCTCTCTCAGAGGTGGAAGTGGTTTTCGTCCCCGGCTGAGACAAGGTTGGGTGGGGTCCGGTATCCTCTGGGAAGGTGAGGCGGCTATGCACACTCACCTCCCTCGAACCCAAGCGTTCATGAACGCTTTGGCGGGCGAATTCCGGGTCCTTGGAGGGCCCCATGGAATTCTGAGCTTCGGAGTGGTCAGAGGGTTGAGGGTTCCTCCTCCTCTCCTTACTGGAGTTTCGGGTGTCCCCTCGCCACCTCTGGCCGAGCTCTCTATGTGGTGGAACTTGTCCACCATCATCCTGACCGATCCTCCTTTTCAGGTTTCTCGGCTGGTGATCATCAGGCATCTGGATTGGAGCCCCTTGAGCTTTAAGGAACTCCATGCAGATGGCCACTGCTCTGGCCACTTCCTCGGTGGAGGGTCCGGAGGGAGGAGTCTCCCGCGGATGTGACCTGGATTGCACGCTATGGCGCGGCGGGGAGTTCCTCGCACCTGAGCCACTCGGTCTCGGGGATGGCCCCGGCTGCCGAGTGTGGTGCGAGGTGTTCTCCTCCTGGAGGCTAGGACCTCTTGAGGCTTCCCTTTCCGGAGAAATGGGGGCCTCCGATTCGGAAGAGGCTTGCTCCGGGGAGGGATAAACCGGCTGGCGTTCCCTCACCGTAATCCGGCCTCCTCCCTTCTTAGCCTTCTTGGAACTCTTTCCACTCTTAGTCATGGCGACTGCCGGAGTGTTTGATGACTGACGCGAAATTTAGTAGCGTTCCCCACAGACGGCGCCAAATTGTTTCGGATGAAAACAATCGAATCTCGGAAGATCCTTTTATCTTGAGGGAACTTGGTCTCGGTCCGAACGACGCAGGAGCCGAGGGTTTCCTGCACAACAAATACACGTAAACTAGCCTCGGGGGGGACGCCGAGGAAGGCCCCTCCGATGCTTAAGTCAGTATATTAGAGAGAGAAAGCTGTGCAAGAGTTTAGTTGCTTGAGGCTTTATTGTCTTACCAAGAATTGACCAAATTGTTGGCTTTTATACCTTGGCTAATGAAGGAGGCGGATTGGGCCCGGAAGTCAGTTGGGCTGGGCCAAGCTGATTGGGCCGTTGACTGACCTTGACATGGCTTTGAGGATGTTTGATTTTTGACTTTAGCACATTTGGAGAGTTGAACCTTAACCTTGGGCTTTTAATTGGATCATTCAGTGACCAGGCCCAATTGGACTAAATTGGACCCAAACAAGTAGTAATGAAATGAGAAATCAGCAGGATAATCAAATTTAACAACAGAGATATCATTGAGAAAAACACAGATGAATCGAATTCTACAGCAAACTCTATATAACTTGTTGTACTGGCAGCAATGGTTGATAATTCAAGATTATCAAAAATTGAGTTCCCCTATCAGCCTAATATACAGCAATCAAAGCTCTGAAACATTGCAATAATCATCAATCTAATTCAAGAAGAAATTTTTAACAGTTAAATGGATAATTCATCATCACCGAAATTGGATGCTGCTATTACAAAGAAAATAATACAGTTGGGGGCTGCTTAGAATTACTACACTAGTCACCACTACATTTTGTCTGAATTACTCTCGGACATGTAACATAAATCAAAAGTTCTACATTTCTAAGCCTCTAAAGCGAACCTAGTTCAACACTCGAAAGTCGCAACTTACATATAAAACCTGATATTAACAACCAATTTATGCTCAAGAAAACTCGAAAAACAAACACAGGGATCGCAGCATTGACATGGCCTGCCTTTCCAACTTGCTAGAGGTTCTGTTTCATGTTATAATAAATCATAGATATGCTTACCCAGCTTTCATATAAGATCTCATCCAAAGTCTGCTGCTCTACCATGATATAGCGATTTCAGGCCTCCGAAATGGCTCCCATTCTATAGGAAACCTGTACAGTTGAGTTTTTACTGGAGACGCCAATTTCAGAAAGTACCAGCAGCTTCCATTCGATTGGCAGAGGCAGACATGAGAATTGCAGGAGTACCTTCAGCATTTGGCCTTGGCACTACCAAGCGTGAGCTCCAAATCATCCGTGCTCACTTCATGTATTCTCTCACCTTCCCAAGCCATAACAGCAGCACCATTTCCAAACTCAAATTCTGGGCCACGTCCTCTCTCCATAGCACCTCCCCATCCTAGGGCCATAGTCCCATTGAGTATCCCCTGCATCGAACTTCTCTGTGCAACAGCTTGTTTCACAAGGTTAAATGTAGGAGAAGATGGAGTACCTAAGGATGGCCCTGTCTGGAAGCTCACCCATCTACCAGAATCAACAGTCGAGGCATCAGACTCGTCACATTCTGGTATAGTAGGTGGGGTGGTGTTGTTGCGGCGAGTAGGGCTAGATGGGGCTGACACAGCAAAAAATGAGTTACGAGCAGCAGATTGTTGAGAGCCAGAGCCATTTGAATTCGACAAGGACTCAAACTCAGCTTTACGCTTTGATCCCCTAGAAGTTGGGGAAGACAACGGGGGAGTTACAGGGGCACTGTTTGATATCCGAATGGGCGGGAGATTTGTAGGAATGGATGCTAGATTACGAAGGAAAGGTAACAAATAATTCGACGGATTTGAATCATATCGCGAAGGGCTTGGGAATGAAGATGATGTAGGACTGGCATGATATGAAGGTATAGGACTAGGGTATGCTGATGATTGTGGACTCTGCTGAAGGGAAGAACACGCACTAATGTTCGCCGACGTCCCCGCCATATCCATTGGTGGTGGGTTGCATCCCTGTAATTGCAATTACATTAGCACACACAGCAATTGCAGCACAATACTAGCTTCATCAAATCACATTATATTGCCACATTCACGAAATGCCACAAACTTAACAATTCAATGATCAAATTTCGCTTTCCTCATACAAATTGAATCAAAAAAATACCCAGAAAACATTGAATCGAGAATCTAGCATCCAATTCTTCATCCCAAATTCATTAAAAAAAATCTGGGTCAAAGGTAAAAAAGATCTGAATCTAACAAAAAGGCACAAATCTGGGCATTTCGTCAACTTCAAAGCAACAACAACAAAACCCCAAATCAATCCAAATCAAATCAAGCAACAAATTAATCCCAACTTAGGGTTCTTAAAATCACAACGATTCAACATCACCCCATCAAAATCAATCAAAAAACAACCAAAATCAATCAAACAACAACCAAAATCAGATCTAAAAAACAGAAGAAAAAGAAAAAAGAGATTTGACCTTGCGATAAGTAGTACCATCTTCTTCAACAATCCAACCAGCTTCTCTACAAAGAGCTTTCAAAACTTCATTATTATCACAATGTTTAGGCAACTTATAATTCCCTTGAGCACGAAGACCAGTAAAGATCTTAGCAGCAATAGCTCGTCTTCTTCTTTCTCTCTTCTTATTATTTTCTCTCTCCTTCCAAGTGGGTAGTCTTCCGGACGCTCCTCCGCCCATATTTTCTCTCTCCTCGCCGTTGGCGCCGCCGCCGAGCTCCTGTTGTTTCGCAATCTTGTTGTTGGGGTTTCTCTCTCTAGATTTGATCTGGGTTTCTCTCTCTAGAAGCGTGTGGATTGTGGGAGTGAAGAAGAAGAAGATGAAATGGAGGAGGAGAGAGAAAATTGATTTGGATTGTAGTATAAGGTTGAGGTAGTTAGGCAACCGTGACAGCCTGCTCACGAGGAGATTGCCTCTTCTTCTTTTTTTTTTGCGTTTTTTATTTATTAATTTTATTTATTTTTGGTGAATATTTATTATTTTTTTTATTGTTGGAAATATGGAATGATTACTTTTTGTGAATTTTATAATATTATTACTTGAAATCATACTATGTGACTCGTGGTCCGTGGGTTAAATTTCAAAGATTCGCTTTTTTTGCCCTCAATTCATGGGGTTGGGTTATTATAATGTTTTTTTTTTTTCTTTCTAATTATGTTAGGAAGAGTAATTTGCTATTTAAGTTAAGATTGAAAAAAGTTGAGCAACATCTAATGGATAAAGAATTGTTGTAAAAAAAAAAAAGGATAAAGAATTTGGATCGATTGAAAAAGAGACACGAGAAAATGGTCTTCTAAATATTAAGTCACAAAATACTTACGAACTAACATATAAATGGATATGGTAAATGTAGATCTTAGTTTCAAAATGAGTTATTTAGCTCGTTTGAAAACACTATACCTATTTGTATATTTGTACATGACAACATGACTTCTATGCTAAATAAATTCTAAATATTGTAATAGATTTTGGCATTGTAGTTCTAAAATCTTTATTTCTAAACACAATTATGTTAATCAATATATTCGTATCAGAGTTTCCGAGTAAGAAAATATTTAATCTAAGGAAATTTCAAAACTTTGTTGGAAAAAGTGGTAGACCCTCGATGACACTTTTGAGGAAAAAACCTTCTTACTGGGCAAACACTACAAGTGATATCATGGAGAAAAATGAAATGTGATCTTTGTTTAAATGTGTTTGACTTACATTTAATTCAATTAGCTTTGTTTGATTCATTTAACTTCTTTTGATTCAATTAGCTTTATTTGAATGTGTTTACCTTCATAATTTGATGATTTAATTAGTTTTTTTTTTAATACATTTAACTTTCATTTGATGGAGAAAGATCAAGAGTGACCGGATGGGGAAGAACAACAATGGATAAAGATCATAAGATGAGCTACCAACTTACCATTATACATCCCTCTTTTTTTTTTTTTAAACAAAGTCTAAAAAAATATGAAATATGACGAATAATTTAAGACTATTGTGACACTTAAAAGGTTCGAATATATGAATCAGCTTTATCATATATATTGAAGATAAGACGATGAAAATATAAAATAAAGATCCTCGTGACACAATTTTAATTAGAGATAAAAATCATAGAGGGATGACACAATTTTAGTGCCTGTTATCTTCAGATTTTTTTTTCAGTTCAGTTTAGTTCTTAATTTTTTTTTCTTATAAAATATCCACTTCAGTTCACTTTAACTCATTTCAGTCAATCAGTACAAGTCTTTAGTTGGAGTAATTGGGTCATTGGTTGGGTGGATGTGGTCATGTGGACGACCCCAATATGAAAATACGGAGCATCTGTATGTAAATGGTATATAAATCGAAACGGAGGTATAAAGAATACGGGTAAACGTGATGGTCAATGGTGAAGAGGTGACCACAAATGGGCAAGTAGTCATGGAGAGGCACGTGCGGTAACAGGTTCACAACTAAGATGGGTGGGTCATTAGGGGACCGCCGACCGGACACTTGGCTAATTTTGCGTTGTCCAGAACTTGCCAAGTTACTACCTATTGCTATTGCCAAATATTCCACGCACGTGGATTCCTTGTCCATTTATTTTTCTTTGGTCTCATCTTTTATTATTTCTTCATTATCCTTTCCCTTATCCCATGGACTCTAAATTAAATACTCTATACTTACAAAATTTATTTATTTAATTTATAGTATATGTTGCTTTCATTTCTTAGATTTTTTGTATTGTTCTTAAAAGATCGCTTTTTGTTTATTTGGGGATTTTTTTTTTGTAGCTAGTCACACCTTATGGTATATGGCCGGAGTTACTCAAGTTAGAAGTTACTTGAATTACTACTGACCGAGTAATAACCCCTCGAATAATTCTTGATTGAGTATCCCTTGACTGGGTAACTTTTCGAGTAATCCCTTGTCGAATTCCTCGAGTAACCCCTGACCAAATCCTTTAAGTAACCCTTTACCAAGTGCGCGGCTGGAATTACTCGAGTTATTCGGTCAGGGTTTACTCGAGGGTGCAGTCAGGGGTTACTTGAAGAGTGTAGTAAGAGGTTAGTTGAGGGGTTCCATCAGGGGTTACTCAGTCAAGAAATTACTTGAGATGTTCGGTTAGGGGTTACATGAGAGGTACAGTCACGGGTTACTCTGCCAAGGGTCACTCGGTCAGGAGTTACTCTGTCAGGGGCTAATCGATCAAAGGTTACTCGATTAGGGGTTACTTGAGGGGTTCGATCAAGGGTTACTTGAAGGGTTACTAAGTAAGGAGTAACTCGTGTAACCCCTAACCGAGTAACCTCAGTCACACGGTGTGGCCGCCACACGTATAAAACCCTTTTTTTGGTTTACTTTTAGTAGGCATGTTATTTTCACTTTATTTTTACTAAATTGAAATTATTACTGTTTTTTTATATATTTGTTCTTTTAAGTCACTGATATTAACTGTATTTTTTTGTTTTATTAAACTGAAATTATTTTCACTTAATTTAACTTACTTTTACTAATATTATATTATTAATTTAAGGCGAAGAGAATAAGGTCTTACATTATTGTACATAATTTTTCTGAATCTCATTACTTTTTTATGTTCCCGAAATCGACATTAAGCTTAACAGTACATTACTAAATGGCTAAGAGCCCATATAAAGATCGGGCCCGTAGTTTCATTTCAACAATTGTTATTGTAAGAACTAAGAACCCAATGAGTTATTGTAAGTTTGTACTAACTAGAGACCATTAATTAACAATACTTTAATTTACATCCCTTAACATATACAGAGAAAATCAATAATGCTTTCCACTCTTATCCTTCTCACAAGCTAACAACATAAGTGTGAAGGGAACATGAAAAACATTACGCAAGATCTTATTCCTAATACAAGACCTTGGAGAATAGAGAGGAATAAAGAAAACCAATAATGCACCTAAAAACATCCCTCCCACGACTAATACCACAAGCCCTACCCAAAAAACTACACTATACAACACCACATACAAACCCGCCATGAACGCCACCGACATCATGGCTAGGGAAGTCCCGAGCAAGGGTACCGCAAAGTCGAGTGATAGCAACACAAGCCTAAGTTCATCTAGCTGAGCCCAAATGAGGGTGACCATTGTGAGGATGGAGGTATACATCGCGATGGTGTTGGAAATCACAAAAACTTGGAAGGCACACTTGTGGGCTAGGGTAGCCATACCTACCTTGGGATTGTTGTTGTTATAACCACCTGGAACGGTGAAGCCGGAGGCGAAGGTTACGGTGGCTACTAGGGTAGCTACCAATAGAAGTGTGTTGATTCTTTCCTTGAACTTGTGTTTACGTTTCCTTAAGGGGTGATTTCTTATTGTATTTCCTTGTGGATCAAGGAACATGTAAGCGTGTTGGGTATTAAAAGAGTTATTCCTAGCCGTGTCTTGCCCTATTATTTGTATGTTTACGTTGTGTAGTTGTGGGGCTCTTGGGACACCGGCATTTCTCAAGGATAACCAAGTCAACCGCTGCAAAATTGTAAAGTGGAAGAAAATATTATATATAAATATAAATAACATAGGTACAATGAATGACTTACTATGGGAAGAAAAAGACTATTCTAAGAATATGATGATAATAACTACTAAAAGAAATAGCAATATTATGGTTTTGATTGTATAGGAATTGAAAAAGACTTGGAAAACTAAAGAAAAGAACTAGACAATAAGGAGAATGTGACTATGTTAATAGGGTTAGTTGTGTACATACTTCGTTAATTTGATCCATTTGATTCGATCCAAAAATTATAGGTTATCTGATTCAAAATTAAAGATATCCATTATTGGTTTTAGATATTTGGGATTGAAAATACAAAATATATTTCTTTCCGGGTTATTGAATGCTGATTATGTTTATCATGAAGAATTTATGATACATTATTGTAAGCTCGAATATTTGACAATTTCAGATACTTTTCTATTAGAGTCCGATTACATTACTTTTTTCCAATCTAAAATTTTTGTTATATTTAAAAATTAGATTAGAATGTATCTATTATCTAAATTTTCGAGAGTGAAGGATAGCTCAAGTGGCTAGAGCACATCCTTTTTGGTTTTAGGAAATCCTATGATTGATTCTCATTATCTCATCATTTATCCATGTGTAGTGGCTCTCTAAATACCAAAAAAAAATATCCAAAATTACACAACCGTTTGTGTTCAACTTTATACGATAGTGATTGTGCACGAATAATTCAATGCTACATGACCAATCACACTCAAGAATTGAATAAGACAACAACCAAAGATTTGAAACATTTCTAGTCTTAGGTACGATTGGGTTCACCCAATTTAGTTTTTTATTTTTTTTATTTTTTATAGGGACAACTTTTACTCATGCAAAACAATAGGAAAGTAAAACACCAGTAATATTATACTTCACCAGTTCACCACTGTCTTTTTAATAGCAAAATTTTAACTTTTCTACTACTCACAAAATAATTTAATCCTTCAAGTTCTTTTATATGCCCCATGAAGGCATGAAGGTTGGATCACTGCATTTATAAAAATTTCTTGCATTGAAAGGTGGATTACTTAGCTACAATCTAATTATTAAATAATTGCGCATTAATTTTTAATTATCACACTTTCATTATAAAAATCTAGCAATAGAAAGTTTGCACTATAAAATCTAACGAAACCTTTCTTTATTTCTAACGGGTGAACAACAGCACATGCACCATGTTAATGCTCTATTTAGTAATGTCATAATATGGAACTTTAGTTTTTGCCGCCTTTCTTTCAATAACTTTTACTAGACTTATTAGCTAAAGTAATGTATTGATTAGATAAGAATAAGCTAAAGACAAATAATTGACTAGTAAACGCAGACTTCAAAAGCTAGGTTCAAGACAGAATTAATTACTTGAATTGGGACCATTGAACTTTCAAATTGGGTCTTAGTCACTTCAAATTTAACGTGGTTTCATTCCAAAATTAATGGATTAACAAAGAGTTAGTTCAATAAATTTATACTACGTATTTTCGTTAATTTAGTCCCAACATTTGACACAATTTATCACAAGAATGTTATGCCGTATAGACGAAACAAGCAAAATTGGACCATATCCTAATGCTCAATTAGAAAGTTATAATGGAAAGTATCACCCATTATCAAGCTATATATTTTTCACATAATGTATTTTAGATTAAAGGTATTGTCCTCCTAAATAGGTTAAATACGTAATGACACAATACATTGCTAACAAGCAAGTATTAATGATTGATGATCGATAATAGGGAGTTGGATGAAACGGACCTAGAAAAGTCTAACTCCATAATAATCGATTAAAACACCAAAATTTAGAAAATGCATTTAATGCTTATATAGTTATATACAGTACGTACCTCTTCAAACAAAGGAATGTGATCTCCGAATAGTCCAATAGCCTCGGCAATATCAAGGGCAGTGCATCCCTCCTTATTCTGAGCCGATAAATTGACCCTCTTATCCCAAGTAAACTCATAAACCACCTTAGGATGTTTCCACTTAGAAGCCAAATGCAAGGGAGTGTTGCCTTCTCCATCTTTCATGTTGATCATCATCCCAAGCTCCGGTTGTCCTAAGATAAATTTGACAACCTTGGCTTTCCCATTTGCGGCAGCCTCATGAAGGATGTTCCTGCCATTTTTGGTTAGCATAAACCTCGTGTTTTCGTGCAAATAGGATATAAAGAGCTTGACTATATCAACATTGCCTCCGCTGCAAGCCCAATGGATTGGATAGTAGCCATTTTCGTCGATTTTGTAGGCTTGGTTTTGAGACGCCTTATCACTGAGTATGCACTTAACCCCGTCTAGGAAGTCTGTATAAGCAGCGTATGACAATGGTGTTTTTCCTTGTTCATCTGTCTTGTATAAGACCATATCGTTGTAATTTTGATACATCATTTCGAAGACATCTGCTCAATTTTTCAGTAGAAACACCAATTTAATTATTAGGTAATTCATGTAATTATTCCGGACTTCATGAAATGTTGTTACTACTTCGTATATATTATTGGCTAAAATGTTAAAGGATCATACATACCTAATAGCTAAAATTGGTAAAATTCATCAATATTTCTAATTTGTAATATGCCCATAAATTGCAATAGCCGTAACATGTAAAATACTTAGCTTGAAAGTACTAATTGGACAAAATGATTTATCCTGACTCCGGATTTCAATTTTTAACAAGTAGTAATTTAGTATGACTCAAACTCAAACTAGACCCAATTTAGTCACCGAAATTGACACATTTTATTACACCAACTTATCGTGATTTATGACTTTGTGAGACATCAAATGTTACCTATAAATTTAAAAAAAGAATCACCCTTTAAACAGAAAGTAAAAAACATAAAAATAGAAGTGTTTTTTTTTGTGGTACCTTTCTTTTCTGCTAGAATAGCAGCATGAACAACTGATTTTGCCGAAGATGCTAATAATTGGTCCTCAGACTCTGAAGTAACAAAATCTTCAGAAAGCATGAATTTAACAAGATCCCAAAACTCGGCTTCGATAGCCAAATAAAGGGGAGAAAACCCATGTCCATTCAACTGATAGAACGTCTTTGGACATTTTGCAAACAAAAACTTAGCCATATCCTTTTGTTGATTCTCTAACGCTATATGTAAAGCAGTATTTCCATCTTCGTTTTTCGTCTTCAACAAATCAGAAATCAAGTCGGTATGAACCCAAAAAAGTAGACTCTTAGCAGCCTCAAGCTGGCACAACCGTGCAGCAACATGAATAGGTAGATCACCTTTATTGTTTCGAAGGTAAACAAGTTGCGGACTTTTTTGAATAATTGTGTTTATTTTTGTTAGGCCAAGACTCGCTGCTATATGAAGGATGGTACTGTTGTCTGACTCTAAGAGTAGAGTTGAGTAGTCGAAATCGTGGTTAAAATCGTTATACAAGAGATCGATGTTGTTGTTGATGAGCGTTGAGTAGTGACCGGCATCAATAAAGGTAGTCGACTTGGGTAGTGAATCTGACGATGACAGTGTATTGGTGATTACTGAAGGTAAAATTGATGATGACCGCGACGACAACGATGAGTCGATTTCAGGAGTGCTGTTACTACGGCTTGGGTGGCTTTGGGTGTGGTGGTGACAATTGGTGGGATGAATTTGTTGGGGTTGTAATTGAGCATCCATGAGTGAGGTGAGCTAGTGGTAGAATGAACTAATGAAGGGTAGAGCACTTGAGGTAATATAATACAAGTGAAGTACTAGTTAGTGTAATATTGGACATAATAGTTGGGTCCTTTTTAGTTTTTAGTGGGTTCGTTGTTGGTTTCGTAGAGTAAAAGATGTTAAAGCCGACAATAAAGTTTGGTGGGTGCCATTTTAATATAAAAAGACCTTGTTATGTAATAATTGAGGAAGGAAAGAAACTAAGAACATGTATCATAATTCATAATATATTCATGCATGTATTGACTCCGATCCAAATTACTCGCAGCTTTGGGGTATTATTTGTGAGATATAAAATATTCCAAAGTTGCGAGTAATTTGGACCGAAGGTAGTATATATATGTAGCCATGTAGGCATTGTAGCATGCTATAACCCCTTAGTTTATCTGGGTACAATTCTTCTTTATTTTTCTTAATTGATTTTCAGTGATCACTTGAATTGAAGTAGCAAAATGCGATATGAATGCTAATGGTGTATTATTATTATATATTACTATTAATAGTTTTGATTGACTTGTCTTCAGATTTGTTGATAAGGTCAACTTGCTTCTCATTGGCTATTCTGGCTAGTCCTTAGTTCCAAAAGGATATAAACGGATTATACCAATATATGTACCTGAAAACAAATTTGGTATCCAAAGGTTGGTGAAGTTTTAGCTACTTCACTAAAAGGGATTTATACTGAATTTCACATAGTATCAGACTTGTGTACCAAAATATGTGATTCTGGTATCAAATTTAATTTGTATCAAAATACAGATAGAGTATGTGATTTTGACAGTTATTTGGTACTATGTGAATTTTTGTATGTTCAGATTTAGCACCTTGACCTACTCTCCAAAGGCTTACTCGTATGAATGAATAAATATTAGTTTTATAAATAAATGTAGCCACTATACACCATATGATAAATCACAAACAAGACTTATTGTGATGTTTATTAGTCCTTTTAAAAATAAACTAAATACGACGTCGAATGATGTAGAAAAGAATACAAATACACAGTGCCAATGTGCCATAAGCTAAGCTAAAAAACAATCAATTCTCTATAAAATAAATCAAAAGATACAGATCAGACTGCATACATATAATTGTATATTTGTAGTATATAAATAAAGTAAATTATTGTTATACATCTATTTTGATTATATTATAATTTCACAGTATACATCTATTTTTTACAATTCAAATTACATGTTTATATATCAATTCTTTTCGTTACTATCTACTATCATATACCTATTAGTTTAATATATTTTGTTCTTATTTCCAAACAAGCACTATTTAAGTATTTAACAGCAACACAACAACATTCACAAGCAAAGGGTATGGTATGTTGGTAAGTCTTTTTGATCCTTCTAAAATTAACACATATTTCTTTTAATTAAACTCCCCACCTCAACATTATTAGCCAAATCCAAGGGTATACGACCATTTTCGTCTTTCTTCTTAAGCAGCTCTTTACTCTCTTTTAGGCTCAACAAGTACACGACCACATGTTTCAGCTTGTTGCTGCGTTCTTTAGCAGCTATGTGCAATACTGTGCGCCCATTATGAACATCTGCGAGCAATGACTCCGGAAATAGAGAATAGAACACTTTTAAGACCTCAACATGGCCTCCTAGACATGCCTTGTGTATCGGGTAAGATTTATCGTTGTTGCGGATTCTTCTTATTGCAGGAAACTTTTCGAGGATGTAACAAACCATGCTAGTGAAACCATTGTATGCAGCATAAGAAAGTGGAGTTAATCCTTCTTCATCAGTGTTGTTGATTAGATCGGGTTGAACCTTGAGTATTGTTTCTAGCATTTCTGTGATTAGACAAACGTACCACCAATGTAAGTATATGAATCCGAACATTAATTTAAGTCCTTAATTTAATTGATAAAACATTGAGTATATCATGATGTGGTGGAAAGAAGTCTAGTTTAATATAGAGACTCGAGCAAAATTTTGAATAGGAACAAACTATATTTAAAAGTCAGTGGCCTTGTTTGATGATTAGATGTTAGCTGTTTGATTTAGCTGATTGCATTAACTGGTTTGACTAGTTGGTTGTACATAACTTCTCGTGTAAAAGTGATTGTTTATTAGCTGTTTATATTTAGCTGTTTCAGTGAATTTAATACCCAAAAACCTAATTGTTCAATAAGTTAATTTTTAAAAAACTTTTATAATAATAAAAATTTTTAAAAGAGAGTTTTTTGAGCCCAAAAAGCTCTTAATAATCTATTTACCAGATACTCAAATTAGCTTTTTATTATGGTTAAACCGCTAATAGTGCTTTCCAGCTTTCCAAAAAAACTTTTTACCAAACAAGGCAATTAACTTTAGCATTGGAATAGAGTCTAAGGGACACAGGATAACTATTTACCTTGATTTTGGTTTGTAATAGCAGCACGTACAATTGAATTGGCTTCCATTAGATCAACCAGAGCGTTAATAGGCTCGTTAAGCATGCGCTTGACCAACTCCAAGTTGTTGTCAAGAACAGCAACGTAAAGAGGAGAAGGACTGGCGGACCTAGTGTTAGGTGCACGCCTCGCAGCAGCGGCACTAGCAAGAAGTTGAGAATTGTTGGTTTTTGAATTCAGCAATATATCAGCATTCATCATGTAGACCATGATGTTGGTGTTCATGACCCGTGGGATAAGGTTGCTTCTAGCGGCGGTGTTCATAATTTCGAACACCATTGCTCGATCTTGACCTTGAAGAGGCGTTGTGGAGGAGGGGGAACTCATCATATCTTTCATAATTTTCTTTTTTACATTTTCTAATTGTTTTTCTGTCATTGTGTTATAAGAATGATTAAGGGTTGACAAAGGTGTAAGCTAAGAAATATGGTTGATTAGATCAGAGTTTTGATTTAAAATGAGGAGAAATATGGGGTTTAAGTATTACGTGTCCCTATTTATATAGGCTAAGGTAGAAGGTAGAAGGTAGATATAAATGTCCGCGTAATTTCAGCAGAATGCATGTACATTGCAAAAATTAAATTGAATATCCTAATTAATAATATTCAAACCATAGTTGGTTCCTATTTACTCCGTATATTGAATGACTTAACCGCTACGGAGATACACGGTTCATCTATATTTGGTTCTTATACTTGTTAATTACATAACTTGCTAATTTAGGTTTGATTTAATTAGAGCTGTCAAAAGTTGACCCATCCCGAAATACTGACTCAAATCCGATTATAAACCGACCCATCTAATCCCGAAAAAATGGTGACCCAAACCCGACCTGAAACCAACCCTAGACCCGAGTTGACCCGAGTATGTGAGACCCAAACCTGAACATAAAATGACCTGGAGATGACCCAACTCGAATGTAACCCGTAAATTATTGACCTTAACCAAACCCGACTTGAACCGAAATTGACCCAAACCCGCTTTAATCCGCCAAAACCCGAATTTAACCTGACTTGTTACTAACCTGACCTGAATTCAACCTGACGCGTTTCTAACCCGACCAGAATTTAACCAAACCTGTTACAAACCCGAATCGAAATCAACCCGACTTGTTATTGACCTGACCCAAATTCAACCCCAGTTGTTATTGACCCCACCTGAATTTTACCAGACCTATTACTAACACGACCAAAAAATTCAACCTGATCTGTTACTAACCCGACTCGAAATCAACACGACTTGTTATTGGCTCGACCTAAATTCAACTCAAATTGTTCTTGACCCGATTTGAAATCACCTTAAATGCAATTTAGACCACCTTATTATTGTTGATCAAATCATTTTGTCTAGGGAGACCAAGTCGGTCCAGCCAACAAAAGAAAGGAGCATCATCCTCAAGCCTACCACGAACATTTATCATAACAAATAATGATCATATATGGTTCCAAACGACATTATATGACCCTGAGATATATCCCCTAGAATTTCAGGACTTTTTGACACCGTGCCCCGAAACCTCCAAAATTTTTCAAAAAGCGTGGATATTAGCCTTCAATTTTAGAATTTTTTGACTTTTTTCGCCCGGATATTAAAATTGCCGAAATGTTTACCATGGTCCCAAATACCCTCCGAGAGTCCAATTGGGTGGATGGAACCATCCAATTTGCCTTAAAACGACCAATTTACCGTTTTACAACTTACACCGATTTCATTAATTCAACCCTACCACAAACATTTATGACAACAAATAATGATCATATATGTTTTCAAACGACCACTACAAAAAAAATGAGAATAGGCAACACTTAAGATCGCAACACTTATAAAAATGTTACTCTTAATAATCTAACGCAACAATACTTATTTGTTACCTTGAACTAAAGTAACGAAAAAAGGGTTGCTCTAGTCTATATAAGGCAACAGTCGCTTAAAGTGTTACCTTTTTCTTGTCTAAGACAACAAATATAATAATTGTTGAATGAAAAGATAACAATAACCAAACTATTGTTTGAAAAATGTAACATTAATATCTATGTTGCCATCTATAGCAACATTTATATTAAAATGACAACATATATATATATATATATATATATATATATATATATATATATATATATATATATATATATATATATATATATATATATATATATATATATATATATATATAAAGTTTGGTAGAGCTGGTGAAGGGGATTCACCTTGTGACTCTGAGGTCACAAGTTCAAGCCCTACCAACTACTAAATGCTTGGGAGTGACAACATTTTTGAATTATCTTCTTAGATGGCAACATTTTTCATTTGTTGTCTTTGTTAAAGTGTTGCCTTATGTATCATTTTACCTAAGCTTTCAAAAATAATGCCTTTAAATAAAAATGTGTTGCCTTATGAATAGACAACAGGGGCATAAATTACGCCTCATATGTGTTGTCTTATCTACAAGGCAACACTTTTTTTATATTAGGCAATGGTTTTTCATTGTTACCTTTGCTTTATTTTGTTGTAGTGGACATTATTATATGACCCCGAGATGTATTCCCTAGAATTTCAAGACTTTTCGACACCGGGCCCTGAGAACTCCAAAAATTCTCAATAAGCGTGAATTTTTTCCGCCCGGAAATAAAAATTGCCGAAATGTTTACCATGGTCTCTAATATCCTCCGAGAGTCTAATTAGGTGGGTGGAACCATCCAATTTGCCTTTAAACGGTCAATTTACCGGT